CACAGTGGCTCACACCTGTAATCCCAGCACTTTGGGAGGCCGATGTGGGCAGATCACCTGAGATCAGGAGTTTGAGACCAGCCTGGAAAACATGGCAAACCCCGTGTCTACTAAAAAGTACAAAAATTAGCCAGGCGTGGTGGTGCATGCCTGTAATCCCAGCTACTGGGGAGGCTGAGACAGGAGAACCACCTGAACTCAGGAGGCAGAGGATGCAATGAGCCGAGACTGTGCCACTGCACTCCAGCCTGGGTGACAGTGCAATAAATAAATGAACAAATAGGCCGGGCGCGGTGGCTCATGCCTGTAATCCCAGCACTTTGGGAGGCTGGGGCAGGTGGATCATGAGGTCAGCAGATCGAGACCATCTTCGCTAACACGGTGAAACCCCGTCTCTACTAAAAACACACAAAAAAATTAGCCGGGTGTGGTGGGGGGTGCCTGTAGTCCCAGCTACTCGGGAGGCTGAGGCCACAGAATGGTGTGAACCTGGGAGGCGGAGCTTGCAGTGAGCTGAGATGATGCCACTGTACTCCAGCCTGGGCAACAGAGTGAGACTCTGTCTCAAAAAAATAAAAATAAAAACTGGGGTCAGGCGTGGTGGCTCATGCCTGTAATTCCACTACTTTGGAAGGCCAAGGTGGGAGTATTGCTTGAGGCTAGGAGCTCAAGACCACCCTGGGCAACACAGTGAGATCCTGTCTCTACTAAAAATTAAAAAAAAAATTAGCCAGGCACGGTGGCACGCGCCTGTGTTCCCAGCTACTCAGGAGGCTGAGGCGAGAGGATTGCCTGAGCCTGCAACAGTGAGGCCACAGTGAACTGTGATGGCATCACTGCACTCCAGCCAGGGCAACAGAGTGAGAACATGTCTCAAAAATAAATAAATAAACAAATATTTCAAAAATTGATATATAATCCACACACTATAAAACTCACCCTTTGAAGTGTACAATTCAGTGGTTTCTAGTATATTCACAAGGTTGTGCAAATACTACCTTCATCTAATTTCAGGACATTTTCGCTTTTTTGAGACAGAATCTCCCTCTGTTGCCCAGGCTGGAGTGCAGTGGCGCGATCTCGGCTCACTGCAACCTTCCTTTGCCCCTGGGGGGCTTAAGTGGGTGGTGGGACAGGCAGCGAGATCCATTGGAGAACACAAGAGGCCAAGGCTTGAGATAGAGTGGAGGGGGCCAGAGAATACTAGTCAGAAGTTGCTACTAGGGGCCAGGCTCGGTGGCTCACGCTTGTAATCCCAGCACTTTGGGAGGCCGGGGAGGGGAGATCACTTGAGGTCAGGAGTTCAAGACCAGCCTGGACAACATGGTGAAACCCTGTCTCTACTAAAAATACATAAAAAATTAGCCAGGTGTGGTGGTGAGCTCCTATAATCCCAGCTACTAGGGAGGCTGAGGCAGGAGAATCACTTGAACCCAGGAGGTGAGCCAAGATCATGCCATTGTACTCCAGCCTGGGCGACAGAGCAACACTCTAAAAAAAAAAAAAAAAAGCCATACCCATGCAGGCCCAAGAGGAGAAATCAAGGCAGGCTTCCTGGAGGAGGTGTCATTAGCTCCTGAAAGCAGGTGAGGCTGGGGAAAGCACTCGAAGCAGGTAGGCCCATGAAGCAGAGGTGTAGAGAGTGGCATTGGGACTCCAAGTACCCCAGGCCACCCCCCCAGTCCCTCATGGGTACCTCTGGCTTGGGCGGTTCCTTCTCGGGGCCCTGGAGCTGCTTCTGGTTCCAGCTGAGCCACATCTGGTGCAGCTTCTCCTGGCCTTCCACCAGCTTCTGATCAACGCCTTGCTTGACAGTTTCCATCTGGGGCAGGGGAGAGAGAGGTGAGGGAAGGAGGCTCCCCTGGGAGAGGCGGGATTCCAGAGGGAACCCAGGGAATCCATCATCTGACTTACATGATGGTCTAGAAAAGAGAAAGGGAGGGAGGCAGGGTTTCCTGGCTATGGTGAGCTCTGGGGCCTTTGGTTTAATAACTGACACACTCATGCTCTGTGTGGTCGGTGGGAAGAATGGCAGCACGTCCCCTGTAGCTCCTCCCATTGCGTCAATTTCTCCTGCCTTTAGGAGGGAGCCTGGACAGGTGGCTGGCTTTGGCCAATGGGAGATGAGCAGAAAGAACTAGCAAAGGCTTAAAAAGTACTTGTAGGCTGGCCACGGTGGCTCACGCCCGTAATCCCAGCACTTTGGGAGGCCGAGACAGGCGGATCACAAGGTCAGGAGATCGAGACCATCCTGGCTAACACGGTGAAACCCCGTCTCTACTAAAAATACAAAAATTAGCTGGGCGCAGTGGCGGGCGCCTGTAGTCCCAGCTACACGGGAGGCTGAGGCAGGAGAATGGCATGAACCCGGGAGGCGGAGCTTGCAGTGAGTGGAGATTGTGCCACTGCACTCCAGCCTGGGCGATAGAGCGAGACTCCGTCTCAAAAAAAAAAAAAAAAAAAAAAGTGCTTGTAGGCTGGCCACAGTGGCTCACGCCCATAATCCCAGCACCTTGGGAGGTCGAGGTGAGTGGATCACCTGGGCTCAGGAGTTGGGAGACCAGCCTGACCAACATGGTGAAACCCTGTCTCTACTAAAAATACAAAACTTAGCCGGGCGTGGTGGTGCGCATCTGTAATCCCAGCTACTCGGGATCGGGAGGCTGGCGCACAAGAATCACTTGAACCTGGGTGAAGGAGGGTGCAGTGAGCCGAGATTGCGCCACTCCACTCCCCCCTGGGTGACAGAGCCACACTCAGTCTCAAAAAAAAAAAAAAAAAAAGGGCTTGTAATGAAATATGATTCAGCCTTCCAAAGGAATGAAGCAGGCTCACTTCTGCAATCCCAGTGCTTTGGGAGGCCAAGGCGGGAGGATCACGAGCTCAGGAGCTCCACAACAGCCTGGGCAATACAGTGAGACCTCATTTTTATATATTACATAAAGTTTAAGAGAAAAGAAAAATAAATAAAGAGGAATGATGGCAGACATATGCTCCAAGATGGGTGAACCTTAGAGGCTGCAGTGAGCCATGCTCATGCACTCCAGCCCGGGAAACACAGTGAGACCCTGTCTCTAAAACAACAAAAAAAAAGGTAATTAAAGGTAAATGAAGCTATCGATTAGGGTGGGCTCCAATCCATAAAGGGTTGGGCTCCTTAAATGAGGAGATTAGAGCTGGGCACGGTGGCTCATGTCTGTAATCCCAGCACTTTGGGAGGCCCAGGCGGGCAGATCACTTGAGGTCAGGAGTTCAAGACCAGCCCGGCCAACATGGTGAAACCCCGTCTCTACTAAAAATACAAAAATTAGTCAGGCGTGGTGGCAAGTGCCTGTGATTCCAGCTACTCGGGAGATGGAGGCCCAAGAATCACTTGAACCCGGGAAGTAGAGGTTGCAATGAGCTGAGATCACACCACTGCACTCCTGCCTGGGCGACAGAGTGAGGCTCCGTCTCAAAAAAAAAAGAAAAACAGATTGGGACACAGACATACACAGAGCGAAGGGACGACCACGTGAAGACACGGAGAGAAGATGGCTGTCTACAAGTCAAGGAGAGAGGCCCCAAAATGACGCTCTGATCTTGGACTTCCAGCCTCCAGAAATGTGAGGAAATAAATAACTGTTGTTTACATTTCCCAGACAGTGCGTTTTTGTTTTTGTTTTTTTTTTTTGAGATGGACTCTCACTCTGTTGCCCAGGCTGGAGAGCAGTGACATGATCTCGGCTCACTGCAATCTCTGCCGCCCGGGTTCAAGTGATTCTCCTGCCTCAGCCTCCTGAGTAGCTGGGATTACAGGCGCCTGCCATTGTGCCTGGCTAATTTTTGTATGTTTAGTAGAGATGGGGTTTCAGCATGTTGGCCAGGCTGGTCTTGAACTCCTAACCTCGTGATCCACCCGCCTGGGCCTCCCAAAGTGCTGGGATTACAGGAATGAACCACCCCACCTGACTGCGATTTTTTTTTTTTTTTTTTTGAGATGGGCTCTTGCTCTGTTGACTAGGCTAGAGTGCAGTGGTACAATCATAGCTCGCTGCAGCCTCCAACATCTGGGCTCAAGCGATTCTCCTGCCTCAGCCTCCCAAGTAGCTGGGATTACAGGCATGTACCACCACACCCAGCTAATTGTTTTAAATTATTTTTTGTAGAGGTGGGGTCTTGCTGTATTGCCCAGGAGGGTCTCAAACCCCCGGACTCATGCGATCCTCCTGCCTTGGGCTCCCAAAGCACTTGAGGAACTCACACAAAGAGGTGTGAGCCGCTGTGCCCGGCCCCAGACAGTGTGGTTTGTGGCAGCAGCCTGAGCAAATGAGTGTACAACCAGAGACAGTGCCAGGAGCAAGCGGGAATGGCCCCGCCAGCCTGCAGAGGGGTAGGCAATAAGTCACTGAGCTCTGGGTGGGCGTCTGCTGTGGGGTGAAGGCTGCTGGCTCAGGGCCCCGACCTCCCGGAACCTCACCAGGCTTAGGGCCTGCGACAGCTGCAGCAGAGCCTCCTGTGCCCTCTGCTTGGTGGCTCGAAGCTTGCCCAGCGAGTGCTCATAGGCGTGCTGCCTCAGCCTCTCCGACAGGGAGCCCAGACGCACGAAGTAGCTCTGTTCCTGCCGCTGCTGCTGCATGGACGCAACGTCAAAGCCATCCAGGGACGTGGCGATGCGGGCTGCAAGGAAAAGGAGAAGGGTCTCTGTGAAGACCAGAACACACAGCTGGGCTCGTCCCACGAGGACGGTCCCAGGAATCACACTGTCCAGTTTATTTATTTATTTAGAGACGGAGTTTCGCTCTCTCACCCAGGTGGGAGTACGGTGGTGTGATCTCAGCTCACTGCAACCTCTGCCTCCTGGGTTCAAGTGATTCTCCTGCCTCAGCCTCCTAAGTAACTGGGATTACAGGTGCCCGCCACCATGCCCGGCTAATTTGTTTATTTTTAGTAGAGACAGGGTTTCACCATGTTGGCCAGCCTGGTCTCAAACTCCTGATCTCCAGTGAGTCATCCGACTCGGCCTCCCAAAGTGCTGTGATTATAGGCGTGAGCCACCGCACGCGGCCATGCTGTCCAGTCTATACCCCAGTTCTGCTTCTTATAAACCTCGAAGGCCGGCCAGGCGCAGTGGCTCAAGCCTGTAATCCCAGCACTTTGGGAGGC